CTGGTCTTAATGAAAACGGTTTTTGGACGGATTTCAGGGAGTTGATTCTAATTTTTCATCGAAGGAACCAATCTTCAATTAGGCTTAGCTCACTCTGCTGGAGTTCGGAAGCTTCATTTATAGATGTGCTTGCGGCTGAAACGGCTGAATCATCAGCATATGTTGCAACAGTTCAGTTGTTTCTTTATTGGCTATAAAATGGTTCAATCGGATCCCAATTTGGTGATCTGATAGATATGCCCCTTCCCTACGAAATGGCGTTTTTAGTTTTCTTTTATCTTCAAAATAGTTTGGGAGGTTTTCGACCTTGTGCGGGGGCGGGGCTCTTTTTGAAATACACTTGTAACAGTGTGAGCATACAGAAGTCTGGATGCAAAATTTGTTGGCTGACGGACAGACAGACATGGCTCTATCGACTCGGCTATTGATGCTGATCAATAATATATATACTTTATGGGGTCGGAAACGTTTCCTTCTGTGCGTTACATACAACCGTTAATCACACAAATACAATATACCCTATTAATCGTCGAGTACCGGGTATAATTATTTATATGGCAAAACAACGTTTGCCGGGTCCGTCTTGTATATATTCAATATATTTCCTAATATATTAGAATCCATTACAAGTAAATCATTTCATATCAACGTCCAGACACAAAACGAGAAGGGAAGTGTGAGACGTTTCTTACGCGTCACAACTTCTATACCCGGCACTCAGTACTACTGCACCTTAGCGGTGTTTTGTCAAATTTTACATTTTTTCTTCGTCTGTCATCTTCATCCACAACACTTCTCACACCAACACGCTCCTTTAGCTCGCCCCCCTTCCCAAAAGCCACACCCTGCAATATCACGGCAGAGGCAGAGGCCGCACACTGCGCGGAGCAGAGTGTGAATGAGAGAACTCTGGGGAGAAATGGGGTGGGTTTAGCCATTGAACAGTTATTTCTTCATTCTGGCTATAATAAGGCGGAAGGGGGCGGGGCTGATTTTTGAAATACACTTGTAACAGCGTGAGCTTACAGTAGTCTGGAGCAGAATTTGGTGGCTCTAGCTTTAATAGTCTCTGAGATCCAGGCGCTCAACAAGACGGACGGACAGACAGACATGGCTAAATCCGCTCGGCTTTTTATGCAGATCAAGAATATATTTACTTTATGGGGTCGGAAACGTTTCCTTCTGTGCGTTACATACATTCACTTTGTGCACAAATACAATATACCCTATTTACTCTTCGAGTACCGGGTTTAATAAAATTTTCCCCGGAGATAGCCGCAACGGAAAATGAGTTCAATTTATATTTACTGTATATCGGTATATAATGCCATAATTAATGAACTTCATCCATCGATTAAATTACATATGTTAAGTTATATTCAAGAATATATGGTTTCGAAAAGTATGCCCATAAGTCCCTGAGGATTTTTCTCTTCTCCGTTGGGATCTTTGCATGAAAATATGTCAGTCTAAGATAAAGTCATTATTAATGCTCAAAAGCAGATGGAAAAGTCGAATTTTAATATTAATGGAATTTGGGTATACAAAGGCACATAACGTTTTAGGCTAATTTTGTTTGTTAACCTTTTTAGTTTTAAATTCAATTTAAAATAATTTCAAGAAAAAGGAAGTCATGAAAACTTGAAAGATGATTTGAATAAAATTATAGTTTTAGAGCTGAGAGTCCTAACTAGCTGGTAATATTAAGCAGAACACCAAAGTCGTGGGAACTGATTTATATTTACAATATATTTTGAATATCTATTATATTTCGGTATATTTCTGAGGGTCGGGCGGTATAATTTACAGATAAATCCGGAATACTTTGGTATTTCGCTTAAAACGTGATTGTTGTTGTTTTTAAACATTTCCACAGTCCCGACGTTCGGTTCGACGTCATCCCTGTCTTCTGGCCCTGCCAAATCAATACAGAAATGAGCATCGACGACGTCATCTATGTAATCTGTCTTCTGGCCTGCATCGGTGCCGGCAACTATGTGCGCGAGGTGCGCGATGAGTCCCAACGCAAGATGATGTCCACGGCATTGGGTGTGCTTGTGGTGGTCATTGTTTCGGGACTCCACAGTCTGCATTGCATTGCCTCCTTGGCCTTGGGCACTGCCAGTGTGCTGCTCGTGCATCCAAGGTTGGTACCCGCATACCGATAAACCGACTCGAATTGTGTTAATCACACTGCGAATTCCCTTGCAGCAAATGCCATTTGGTTACATTTGGAATAATGTTTGGCTACCTGGTGTTTTTCCGGCTGTTTGACTTTTACTGGAGCATTCCTGGCCACACGAACATGATACAAATGATACTTACACTCAAGGTTAGTTGCATAATAATGAACTGATTGCCACCTTGTATTGGATGAATGCTTTTAATTGCCAGGTGTCGGGCATTGCTTTTGAGAAAACTGCCGCCTGGAAGCGTATACGTGAAAAGGACGAGCAGGAGAAGAATGAACAGCGGGATGTAAACAGCGAAAGCCCCATCGAGATCACCGATTACGATCTGGAGCTGCAGCAATTGTCAGCCGCCGAAATAGTGCACTACAGCTTAAATTACATTGGAGTACTAACAGGTAGAGAGTGCATTCATTGTCTCCATGCTCTTTATTGCGTCATGTCTTGGCAACGTCTTGATATCAAAATCCAACCTATTGAGTGGCTGCCTCAATTACTAACAGCGCAAACATTTGCATGGGCATAAGAGCCAGACTAGAAGATACACTAATCTATATAATATTCCTATCCAGGTCCCTACTATCGTTATCGCACCTATAGGGACTACTTTGAAATGCCCTTTAAAACGCATGCCCCGAGCGTTGGTGCCACCATTGAGAAGTTCAAATGTGCCGCCTTCTACAGCGCTTTGTATCTCGCCACCAACTACGTTTGGCCCCTGGACGTAAGATCACACTTGTCCACACTCTATTCTCAAATCAATTTATCTCGGAATCTTCCATTTCAGTACGCTTTAAGCGATGAGTTCTACAATGATCGGTCCTTTATCTACCGTCTGCTGTATGTGTGGCCAACATTCTTTACATTCCGGGCACGCATCTACACCGGTCTCACGCTCAGTGAATGCGTCTGCACAATGGCCGGCTTTGGGGCCTATCCGGACGATGCGAATGCCAACGCTGGCGAGGGACCACGCAAGCGCTACCAGCACTTGAAACGCGATGCGGATAAGCATACGTATAACTTCACAACGATTGTCAATACCCGTGTGATGGACGTGGAACGTTGCTGGACCTTCCGCGAGGGCATGAAGCACTGGAATGTCTGCGTACAGTACTGGCTGGCCGTCAATGTCTACAAGCTGTTCCCCAGCAAGAAGTACAGGTGTGTGTTGCTGGCTCTGTGGCTTCATAGACCACTCTTGTAACTTTATTGCTAGCTTTATTGAATACTCGCTATTGTTGTTGTTCCTTCCATTTGCCACTGATCGCAGGGTTGGCAGGTATTCATCCGTACTGCTACCATTAATAGACTTATCGATTCAGTTTATCCATTAACATGCTCTTAAAATCCTTTTAGAACGGGTGCCACACTGCTCTGCTCGGCATACTGGCATGGATTCCGGCCAGGACACTATTTCTGCATCATGGGCGCTCCCTTCTATGTATCGCTGGAGGACATGTGGCATAAGCTTGTGCGCAAGGATGCCACTGGCCCAGGGCGCACCGTCATCGATGTGCTCTTCTGGATCTTCAAGTGGTTCGCCTTCAGCTACCTAGGCGTGGCCTTCCTGCTCTCCTCATTCGGCAACATTTGGCGATTCTATAGCTCTGTGTATCACATTGGATACATCAGTTGGGCTGCAATGATTGGACTTGGATTTTTCCTGACGACCCAACGGAAGGCAGCACAACGTCGCAGGCAGAAATGCGCAGCTAGCGGCGACACTGCTGTTACAGTGGAGGATAAGAAGGTGCAGTGATTTGGCTACAGGGTTAGCTCTAAAAGGCAGTTCCAAAACGCAAGAACTTACCCAATTACACTACTCGACACGATCCATACCAACCTTTTATACCCGATACTAGAAGAGTAATTCCCTATTAACGAATTTTTAGCGAAAATCTTCCACAGCCACAAATTTGAAGATACAAGATACCTAAAAACGCCATTCATGCATTCATTAGCTTTAAAGCATGCTTAAGTTCATTTCAACCAGATGTAAGATACATAAGTTATGTGAAAGAAAGCAGCGCTACTTACCTTATTCTTAAAAAAACAGTTCTGCCATAAAAAAAAACAATCGTATTTTCAAAAATGTAAAGCCTATCAAAAAAAGTCGGTTTGGTTCGAAGCGGAAAAAAGTTGGATTTTGTCGAGCAGTGTTATAAAGTTTTCCATAAAATCGAATGATATAAAGTGTGCAAACGTCTGGACCCCTTTTAAAAATGCCTGTTATAAACGACACCAATCAAATCAAGCTTGTTTATAAATTATCCAAAGCTATATACATATATTCAAGTGAAATCACACCAATATATCGGACGTTAGCATGTACTGAATATTTCCCGGGCCTTTCTTCCAATTAGTCTTTCCATCCAAATATTTTATTCGGTGCAAAAGATGATGCAATTAATTAGTTTGTAGATAACACTTACAAAACTGTATGTTAACCCAAAATAAACTGAAGACTAATGTACAACACCTTTTCTTTTGATGCTAATTCCTATTAGGTCATCTAGAAACGTTATTCCCTTGTTCCTTTGGATACGTACATAGATCGAACCGGCCTGTTTCATATAATATCCACTACTAATTCTAGCATACCATCCCGTAGTTAGTTTTATTTGTAGCTAATCTTTGGGTTTTTTTTGGCATCCGCGCGTAACAGGCTTCCGCTTGGTGTCTTGGTTTTAAATTAAAATTCGAGTGATTTATTCATTTATCCATTTGCGGTGAAAATTGTTAAGTGCATGTTGTAATTATAATTTTAAAATTATTTGGGGATCCTTTTTTGTGTTTGATGCTTGTTTCATATTCGATACCAGCTCGAATTCGGTCTAAATTCAATGCGTTACGATTTCAGTTTGTGTGCAATAGCAATTTAGTTCGAATATGGGATGGGGGAGGAGGAGGCATGTGGACATCGCAAGAGATTTCCTGTTGCTGTTTGTTGCGTATTGGAATACTGCTGAAGGACATCATGCCGAGGATGGCTCATCGGTGACCAGAGAGAGGCGACGTTTAACATCCTGCGTGGTATTGTACGCACCGCAATGCACACACTTGAGTCCAATGAAATGGAATTTTGTTTTGGAAGTCTGCAACATGGAATATAGATGATAATGCATAAAATTGAAGTAGAGTTTCGTTGCTCACCTTGTGACAATCATTGCAAAAGATGTGCACTCGCTGATTCTCATACTTTAGGGTTACGGGAATGCGATGGGCCTGATCGTCTAGGTACTCCCACAGCGCCGTCATATCGATCAGCGAGGTCTGGCAGGTAGGGCAGGTGTAGTGACCGGAGGCCAGCAACTGATCGAAGCACATCTTGTGTAACAAGTGGCCGCAGTCGGGAATGTGGCAAGGGATGCGCGAGGTGTGAATGTCGCCCAAACAAACAGGACAATGCGACCGAGAGATGTTCTCCACGCACTGGAAAAAACCGACATGCAACACTCGATTACTTATTGATTAAAAAATTCCAATTCATTAAGTTATCTCTTGAACAGTTTTGAAATTTACAACCACTCAACTGAAACGCGAGCGAGCGGGCCACAAAAAGCAATTAGGCAACCGGTTTGGTTTCGGCAAATGAATTGACACCGAATTAGTATTAAAGCTGCCTGCAGATCTCGTTTTATCCACTTTCAAATTGCGCAGAGGTCAATCCACATATAGCTATAAATACTTTAAATTTTGAGAGCAAACATAGACACTCACCCGATGACCGTCAATCTTCAGCTGAATAGGCAGACACATGTTGCAGACTTCGCAGTGAAAGAAATTGTCAGCGCCGCCAATGCGACAGATGCCGCATCCATGGCAATGATATTGCTGCTTGTCCGCATCATCAAATAGATTGCATATAAGGCAAGTATACTGCAGAAGAAGTAGCATAATTAATTCATGAATTGTTTAAAGTAAAGCCCAGTATCTGTACCTTGCCAAATCGGACGCCACAATTCTCGCATTGCTCACGCACTGTTTGCCGCGTGTTGCACTCGGAGCAGATGAGTTCTGTGAGTGTCTTCCGATCGAAATGATGAGTCTCGTTCTCATCGTGGCAGAAGCGGCACTTGTAGAACTTATTGCAGCAGGGTGTCTAGGAGAAATTGATAATGGAAAATTAATCGTAAAACATCAAAATATTCCGCCTTGAGTTTCCACAGTCAAGGACTGTAATTCACAATTCAGTGAAACATCTACTAATTCGAATTGCGTTGCTAACCAAAGAAATCTGCCTGGAAACGGAGTACAAAACAGAGAATGACGTCTGGCACTTCGGGAATCTCAATCATTTGTCGTCAGGTCTACTGGTTCAGCGCTTAGTATTATCATAAACATTGCAATCCCCAGCCAAGGATTCGACTCAACTGCCGCCTGCGTTGTAGGAGTTATGTAACTTTTAATCAAAACACTTGTAAAGATCTCCCAAACCAAAAGCCCAATCCAGTCCCCCAAAAGTCACCCGTGTCGTCGGTTAATTAGATGTTTGCTAATTGATTGCCACCATTGAGAAGTTCAAATGTGCCGCCTTCTACAGCGCTTTGTATCTCGCCACCAACTACGTTTGGCCCCTGGACGTAAGATCACACTTGTCCACACTCTATTCTCAAATCAATTTATCTCGGAATCTTCCATTTCAGTACGCTTTAAGCGATGAGTTCTACAATGATCGGTCCTTTATCTACCGTCTGCTGTATGTGTGGCCAACATTCTTTACATTCCGGGCACGCATCTACACCGGTNATGACGTCTGGCACTTCGGGAATCTCAATCATTTGTCGTCAGGTCTACTGGTTCAGCGCTTAGTATTATCATAAACATTGCAATCCCCAGCCAAGGATTCGACTCAACTGCCGCCTGCGTTGTAGGAGTTATGTAACTTTTAATCAAAACACTTGTAAAGATCTCCCAAACCAAAAGCCCAATCCAGTCCCCCAAAAGTCACCCGTGTCGTCGGTTAATTAGATGTTTGCTAATTGATTCAGCCGACAAATTAACATCATTTGAATATTATAAAGACCAAACGTATTTGTGTTTGTTATGGATCAGGTTTTGGATTTTTTGTCATGGATAAGGCATGGGCCTAAAGATGGATTTAGTTTTAGTTTATCTTTTAGCTGTTATCTTCCCACCCCACGTATTTGTATTACCTTCAAAACCCTCAAGAATTCTAGCATTTGTTCTATTTATAAATATTAAATGTGAGACACATTCAGTCATTCAGTCGTAAGGCTATATCTGTAGCTGTCTGGCACAGCTCTCTACTATCCTGGAGCATTATTAGTAACTTTAAGAACACTTGTTCGTCTCGTATGCTTGCAACTTTGCTCTGATGATAACATTAGAAATACAGAAGAACGGAGTAGAAGCAACATTAAATCCGATTTCTTAGTGTGATATTTCCCATGTACCCCATATACTCTTATACTTACCCCCCGAATAACGAGGAATTTTATTGCTGTCTCTACAAATTTTTTTTTCTCTCTTTATATTTACAATCTGTTTGTTTAAACAATAAGTAAATTGTATAATTAATATTAAATTAGCAGAAATTGCAGTTTTCCAATGAGCCCTGCTATTATATATAACGTCTCTACTAATGATGTTCATATTATTTCTTTCCAGAATTCATTCCCATACATATGTGGACAAGATAAGTTAAGTAAATTAAACGTGCCATGATGAATTGATACAAGATCTCTGGGGATATTTACAGAGTCTGTATTTGAGGGGTAAGTAATTGCCGGGCCGGGCATTGCTCCACTTGAATTCTTAACATTGAGCTTAAGTCCACAGGTATGCATAAATTAATTTAATGCATTGTGTTCGGCTTATAAAAACACATACCCAAATTCATATAAATATTAAGAAGTTTAAACAAACGCATCACAACTTTTATATCCGGTACTCAGTAGTAAACCTTAACGTTTTTTTTCAAATTTTAAATTTTACATGTTTTTACATCTTTCATTAAAAAATAAATCTACATCACTTTTCACGCCAACACGCTTCTTTAGCTCGCCCTCTCCCCTAGTACCGCACACTGCAGAGGCAGCGGCCGTGCAAAAAACAAATAAAAGCTGCGGGACAGGGTGGGTTAATCCACTGGAAATTTATTTATTTATTCTGGCTATAATAATGATCCAATATGATCCCAATCCCAGATCTGATAGATATGGTCATTGCCTGCGGAATGGCGTTTTTAGTATTCTTTTATCTTCAAAATTGTGGCTGTGGGAGATTAGTAGTCTAGTAGCTCATAAGGACTGACTGATGGACAGACGAACAGACGGGCGGACAGACAGACATGGCTCAATCGACTAGGCTATTTATTCTGATCAAGCTGATGCTGATGTATAAAAAACTCCAACATTTCAGTAATGCAAATATTCTCGAACCTACCCACTCGCACGTTGGAAAACTTGTATTCCGGAATATTACGAGTGCTAGTCTCATATATGTATGTAATTCCACTTTCTTTAATACGTGTATCCACAAAAGCAATAAGCAGTTAGAAAAACCCTTTAAATTGTGGAATATTTAGGACAGATGTAGTGTTTGTAGTATTTTTTGAGGGTTTTCTATAGGTAAAGTTCACAGGGAAAGGCTTTATTTCAACGATTATACATTCTTTTTAAATTAAGTAATTTTTAGACATATTTGTAAAGTCTTTAAGCTGCTTCTTTGATTCTAACTTATTATTATTATCCTAATTTCCCTTTAAGAAATAATTAAATTTTTATACCCGGTAGTCGAAGAGTAAATAGGGTATATTGTATTTGTGCACAAAGTGAATCTATGTAACGCACAGAAGGAAACGTTTCCGACCCCATAAAGTAAATATATTCTTGATCATCATCAATAGACGAGTCGATTGAGCCATGTCTGTCTGTCCGTCTTGTTTGTCGGCTAGTTCTCAGAGACTATAAGAGCTAGAGCCACCAAATTTTGGCTCCGGACTGCTGTATGCTCACACTGAAACCAGTTTATTTTTAAAAATGAGGCACGCCCCCTTCCGCCCCCGCAAAAGGGCGAAAACCTCCCAAATCTACAATTTTGAAGATAAAAGAAAACTAAAAACGCCATTCCGTAGGAAATGGCCATATCTATCAGATCACCAAATTGGGATCCGATTGGATCATTATTATAGCCACAATGGAGAAATTAATTTTTAGTGGCTAAACCCACCCTGTCCCGCAGCTTTTGTTGTTCTTTTTACATTCTCTCATTCACACTCTGCTTCTGCTTCACTAGGCCCCTGCCTCTGCCCTCCCCCTGTCCTACAGCTTTTATTTGTTTTTTTTTTGTGTGCGGACGGTGCCTCTGCCTCTGCCTCGAGTCTGCAGTGTGTGGTTCTAGGGAAGGGCGGCGAGATAACGGAGCGTGTTGGTGTGAGAAGTGTTGTAGATGTAGATGACAATGAAACAAAAATTTAAAATTTGACAAAACACCGCTAAGGTGCAGGGGTAGTACTGAGTGCCGCGTATAAAAGTTGTGACGCGTAAAAAGCGTCTCACACGTCCCTTCTAGTTTTGTTTACGGTCGCGTTAGACCCGCATATTTAGTCTATTTATATTGGTATGAAATGAATATTTCGTTATTAATAGAGTGGAGGATATTTATTGTGACATTTCCACAGAGGGAGAAAGAATTTCAAGCCCTTGTAGAAAAAATATTCTTTCAATTAATAAAATATAGAAGATCAAACTCATACTTTGATGGAATACTTATTTAGATTACTTCTGGAGAAGTTTTTCTTTTTTACAATTTTTGTTTGAGAGGTTCCTAAACTTCTGTAAAGCATTTTGGTTTTATTGTTAAAAATATGTATTGAAATTTTTTATGGAATATTTCCTCTATATCTAGAGGATTTTTTGTTTTAGCCGTTAATCTTTCAGATGTTAAAAAACAAAATAACACATATTCATAAGGAATGCACTTTAAATTAATTATATTTTATTATTTACCTCTATTAAAAAAAGTTATCCATCAATTAATGGAACAAAGAAGCTGAGGCCGTTAATTTTAGGCTAAAATTCCACCAGTAATTCCACTATTTGCTTTTTGGCCACTTTTCTTTCGTTCCAAACTTTTTTATGATTAGTTTTTCCATTTATGTAGCCGTGGGACAGAGTGACACTTACCACAAACATGGCCCGCCGCTTATAGTGTGCACATCCAAAGCGCAATGATTCCGGTGTTGTTGGCGTCGCATTGATGCACTTGTTGTTGCAACTACTCGTGGTATTACCGTTGCTGTCGTGATTGCTGCTGTTGTTGTTTCTGCTGCTGCTGTTGGTGAAGCGTGCAATGATACTTTGGTTAGCCTCCGTGGTAGTGGTTTTTGGCTGGGTGATGATGTGACGACGCCAGACAATGGCCGGCGACTCCTCTTCGAGTAGGAGACTTGGCGTGGATTTGGATTTTTGCATTTTTACGTATGTTGAAAAGTCGCTCGTCATGATTGTAGGCGGCATAATCAGCTGCAGACGTTGTTGCTCTTGTTGTTCTGCTGTTGTGGCTGCTGTTATCTGGGAACCAAACAGAGAAGTAGCTGGAGCATCATCAGTAGAAGCAGCCTCCAGTAAGGTCGTCGTGACCGACGCCGCTCTCGACGACAGCTTTGACGATGAATTTAAATTGACTTGATTGGGTTCTTTTGTATTGGTAGATATTTGTACATCAATGCGGTGGTGGTGGCTGTGCTTGTTGTAGCATTCATTGAGAGATATTCGGCGCAGCCACTGGCGATTCTTCATTCTGTTGCAGGAGCACAAAATCGAAATCTAGCTGACATATATTTATATATCTATGCATTGTATCTTTCTCCCTTTCATTTATCTTACGAGTATGTGCTGTTCGTTATTGCTATGCTATATATATAATCCTTATCTATGTCAAATTTTGGGTTGTTAGCATCTGTTGGAAAGCGCCACGAACGATTAATAGGTGTGAGAAAAAGTGTTAGCTGCCAGCTGGTTAAGCAAAGTTTAAGCACATTAAGCAATGCATTAAAGCATAAACACTTGTAAACATAATCCGGCGCACGACCGACTTGACTCTGCAAAAAAACTTTCGCTCTGCTAATATTATGCTTCTGCCTGAAAGGAGGAGGAAGAGGCACAGCCACCACCACTACCATCACCTGCAGCAGCTTTCAGTACTCGCATCTGTGAGAGTGTTTCTTTCTGCCTTTGTTTCTCTGCCTGTGGGTCTGACCCCCCGTCTTTTGTCATTATCGTATTGTGGTTATTCCTATTTACTTAGCCGATAAGAGCATCGCATCATTGTTAAATCTTCTGTTTATTCAGTTTGTTTTTCGCAATTATCAAAAAGGGGAGCACAACCTCGCACCGCACCGCGCCTCACACCGCCAGCGACAAATAAATATTGAAAGTGTGTGAAAATATTACACACGTAAACCAGTCACAGGCCGTCGAAAAGAATACCAAAAGCTAAAATGAAACTCTAAACTTGATTTTCGCTTTTACAAATTATAAATAAAGACACATTTCATGGCTTACGCACACGCACAGTAGACACACAGACAAGCGGTGACAATCGCTCATAGACACACAAATTGCAGGTCGATTAAACAAGACAAACGCATTAAATAATGGTCACGATCCGAATGTAATCGGTTTTTTTAAGTTTTCCAATTCGCGAATTCCAAACCGCCTTCAACATGAAGTTTTGGCAGGGAAATTTTGTGATTTGATTTCTTGTCTAACTTGTTTTTGTTTTAGGCACTTTTTGTTTTTTTTTTTTTGATTCGCATTCGCATTTGCAATCAGCGTATTCATCGCTTCATCGCTTAACCGCTCTTATCGTGATTTTTTCATTGAGTTCAGCCTTTAAATATAAATAAGCTCATTCGTGAATTATAATTTATTGGCCATAACAGATATACTTGAAAAAACACGAACCGAACCACACACTGAACCGCAGCCAGCAGCCAAGCAGCTCTCGGAGCTCGTCAATTGAATTGAATAGCTCCACAGAGACGAAACGGCGACGACGGTAGTCAATATGAGAGATCCGCGATCCGCTTTGAGCCGGCCTCCTGAACGGGTGCTATGCTCAGACTGATGCCCATCAACGCCATCCAGTCGATGTGCCGTCGCCATTCAATGCCCCACCACGCAAAACTGTAGCTCCATGTGCACACATTCTGATGGTACAGTATGGGGCTGGCCGAGGTGAAGTGTATGGTGTATGGTCACATTGGGTCTTAACTGAGCAGAGTCGCCACGCCACTTGTTGCTGCGCGTCCGTTCCCCATACTCAATCCAAAAGCTTACTCTCGCTACGCTTGTGCTTAAAGCACAATGTGCACAATTGAAAAGATCGTTGCAGGATTACAGTGCGTCATATATTGAATATAAAAATGTATTACTATACGTTTAAGCCTCTGCGTGGGCAGCCTACAGGTTGAGTGAATGTTTGTGTGGTCATAAATCAAATCACAGCTAAATTTTTAGGCATAGACTAATCGTAATTGCATTAATTACTTCATAAACAGGTCACTAGCAAAGGCCAAGCCGTGTTTTATACAATGTCCCCAGAACTGTACACCGTAGACTCTAGACCTTCTCAATTTGGACAAATCTCTCGCGCTTATACTGATCGTAATAGCTGCCCACAAAGTTGAGGCGACCCTCGTACTTGAGATGCATTATCGTTTTGACCAGCGGCGGATGTTCGTTGCCCAGCTCCAGCCAAAGTTTGCCGCCGGAATGCAAGTGATGGCAGGCGAGATCAAAGACCAGACGAGCCACCCTCAAACCATCTGAGCCACCATCCAAGGCATTGAGGTTCTCATACCTAAAAAAAAGGGCGTGGAAACCATAGAGTTATACAATCATCCGAAAGCTGAGACTTACACCACCACTTCGGGATGTAGAAACTGAAACTCTTCCGTCTTCACGTAGGGCGGATTTGAAATGATTAAATCGTACTTTTTGTCCTGAAGCGGCTCTGGCAAGTACTGGTCCTCCTCCATGGTGTGATTGTGCACCTGAAAACGCTTCTGAAGACCCAACAGCTTGGCATTCTCCGCGGCCAGCACAGTGGCAGCCTTGCTTCGTTCAATGGCCGTGGCCTCCACCTGAGGCAGTTCGTGCAGCATGGACAGAGACATGGCTCCCGAGCCACAGCCCACCTCCAGCATATTCACATGCTTCACATCCATATAGTTCACAATGACCAGGCGCACAAACTCCTCCGTCTCGGGCCGTGGAATGAATACAGAGGGCGCTGTCTTTAAGGTAATGTCCATGAAATCCCATTCGCCGATGATGTGCTGCAGCGGCATGCGGGCACAGCGGGCCTCCAGAAACCGCTGAAAGTCTGCCAGTTGTTTCGCATCGAACTGCAGCTGGGAAAAGTTGTCAGGGACGGTGTTCTGGAGGGGCATAAGTGAGGTTAGTTTTTGACATCAAATGTCACTTCAATGATCTTCTCTGACTGATACTTTACAAATTTACGCTTCAGCACATGCGACACAATGCATTTCAAATTGAATTCGGTGTCATGGACGCCAGCGTCCTCCAACTTCTGCACCCATCCCTCCACGGCCTTGGTTACGGCAACAAACTGTTTAGCTTGATAGTTTGTTCCACTTCCGCTGGTGATGCTTCTGGTGCTTGTGGCATAATTATAATGCGTGAGTGCGCGCGAGTTCAGGTGGCGCACTGACCGTGTCAAGTTCTTAAACATAATTAAGATTTTATTATCTAATTTATCAACAAAATTTTGACCACTGCCACTCAGTGTGGCCAACTCTTCGGGTCATAAAAAAGCCAAACTACCTTTGAAAGCTTGAAATAGCCTGACAATTTTGATGGAACCTAAAAAACGCTAAGGTATTGAAACGTTATTTTAACAGCAGCATTTCGCAAATTAGAACCAGTTTGGGATTGGGGTGATTCTAATTTCTGATAAGTTCTAATTTCTGGACATTTGTTTATTAATTTATAATAAAACTGTATAGAATTTCAATCATAAACATTTTATTTTCCTTAAAATTAATATTTTAGTCTTAAATTGAACCTTCTTCAGTCATCAACTAACAGCTGACATACATTTGAAAAAGCGTATCAAACGTTTACATGCCGATAAAAGATCAAAAAAATATCTAAGGATGTCAGATGTTTTGAAAAAGCTATAATAAAGCAAAAATATTTTAGAAAATAGGTATAATGGCCGCTACCCGCTATTTTTACAATTTATCCCGCATATGTCAATTAAAAAACGTAGATCTAGTTGGGAAAATAGTACCACGACTCAAATATACCGACAGACCCTCGGAAATATACGCTTGCATTTTCGAAATATACTGTAAATATGCCGTAATCTTAAATCATATATATTCCTCGACTTTGATGTTCAATTTGATTTACCAAGCTACTAAGGAGTCTCAGCACAAAAACTGTAATTTTACTCGAATCATTTAATTCTACACAATAGTAAATGATTTTCATGACTTATCTCTGTTTAAAGGTTAAACAATAAAAGGTTAAAACTAAAAAGGTCAACCAAAAAAATATCGCCAACCGTAGTATGGGCACTTGTGTACCCTATATGCTATCTCTAATATTAAGAATCCATTTCACCAGCTGCATTTATATATAAAAATTATTTTGCCTTAACGTTAACTTTTATCTGCTCTTAACCTTTTTATATGTTTTCTATGTAATATATACCGATCTAGATACATTCTCGGTATCTATTACACTAACGGACACGATTTTTCCTCAAAGCCTGTTATGATCCGCCTTTTTGCCGCCCTGGTCTATCGTTCCCGGCTAGCTCTCGGCACAAACCAAATAGTATATTTATATACGTTATATACGTTATATACGTTTCGATTGTATGAAGTTGAGCGTCGACTATACTATTTGGTTAGTGCTCTCGGGGAAGTCAGGGGTGTTTTCGACCCGATAGCCAGGGGACGGATTTAACAAAAAAAACCTACTTTCTCGCGTGTAACGGACAGATCTAATTTTTTTTTACACGCTTCTACGTTGGCACTCTCCTCGGCGAGGTCAGTCGGTGTTTTATTTGACCATTGCGAGTCCCTCCCATCCATGAGCGTTCAAAATGTTGCACGCTCCCGATTAATAAACATCTGGTTCCACTCTTTCGACCTCTCTCGTCCCACCCAATCTAATAAGCTCTACTCCATTTTCATTTTCTCTTCAAATTTTCAAATATACTTCAACCTTTTTCTATTTTTAATTTTATAACTCTACTTAATTCCTAAAACATTTTCATACCTCGAATGACATTCGCCTTGCGGAATAAATAAATACTAACATAAAAATACTAACATTAAAAAAAAAATACACACGGATTCTATTTTTCTTTTGCCCGAGGTGGCATCCCCAATTTTAGGTAAACAAAGCTGAAAGTGGCATGCAAATTTAAATGATGAACTTAAAAGATTAAGTGTCTGGGCACACTGCAAGCACGTGGGGAAAATAACCTCTACGCCAGGTAAGTATTGGAGCAAAGCTGTAACAAGTTACATATTACGACGTGGCGATTTCCCCCTTGTAAAGGCGGGTGGCCAAATAATTCCCCTCTACCTAAGGGTAGAGCGGTAACTTAAAACCTCAAAAAAAAAAAAGTATTGGAGCAAAGCTGTAACAAGTTACATATTTCGACGTGGCGATTTCCCCCTTGTAAAGGCGGGTGGCCAAATAATTCCCCTCTACCCAAGGGTAGAGCGGTAACTTAAAACCTCAAAAAAAAAAAAAAAATGAACTTAAACTAAAAAGAGTTCTTGTTAGTAGTTATTGCATTGATATGTATAAGTTAGGAAGAAGGGGGTTGGTATTCAGTGAAGGGAGGGGGGGGGGGGGGGGTGAAATAGACTCCGCTTACATAGATTAATTAAACGGATCTAAACGAAAACCTATTCTAACATATTTTTGTTTTTCTCTTTTGTATTTTATTTTATTTTACTTCAGGTGTGACGACTTCTGTTTTGAAATATCAAGTCACACGAAATTACATTTGATAAGTGTGAATTGAGTAAGTGTTCCGGGAATACATGTATAAAGTGCAAATGAAGCTGCAGTGGGTATGATATGTGCATGTGCGATGGGGCTTATTTTCCGTATATCATTTTAATAATAGTGTTAATATGTGTGGCTATTTCTACGTGAATACATGCGGGCTTCTGGTGTGTGTGGTGTGTATGTGATGGGTGTGTAACGTGTGTGATGCGTGGTGCGCTGTGCCGCTGCGGTGTGCGGGGCGCCGGTGCGTGTCTGGTGTCTTCCCCTGGATCTGGCGCTCTGATCCTCCCGAGGTGCTCCGGCCGGGCCAGTCTTGTCGCTGACCCTGCTGTCGGCTCTCTGCGTGGTGTCCGCTGCTGCCGTCTTCTCCTTCCAGCGCCGTCGTCGCCTCGCTTCACGATTGTCGGTTTCGTAATGTTATCTTTTGTACGGTATCCGGTTTCTTGTATCCTTTTTTTTTTCTTACTTTTTCTTTAGGTTGCCGACCGATCTCTCGTACTTCCTTCCGGAAACTGACCCTCTCAATATAACCTGGTAAGTACCGGATCTCTCTCGCTTTTCGATCATACTGATCCTTTGATCTCTTGTAGGCCTCATGCGCATTCTTCCGGACCTCATCGCGGATGATCTCCTGCTGGTCTTGCCTTGCCACAAGTAATACTTGCGCGTCGTTAAGGGCTCCCAGTTTCCTTGCTAATTTGTAGTCCCGCCCGCTGGTGAACATGTGCTGCCCGAACAGCACGAAGTATGGCGACGTGCCAATAGCTGTGTGTATCGCACTCCTGGCCGCACCCTGTATCTCCGGCAACTTCTCATCCCAGCGTGTGTGATCTTCGCTGACATAAGTCCGGATTGCTGCGAGAACGGTCTGATTCACGCGTTCTGCCGCGTTCGCCTGTGGTGCATAATTCCCAGATTTCATGTGAGTTATACTTATTTTGGTCAAGAAGTGTGTAAACTCGGCTGATACAAACTGCTTTCCGTTGTCTGTGTGTACCATTTCAGGAACGCCAAACTGTGCGAAGACCTCTTCATGCAGGAATTGAATTACGGCCGCCGATGTGGCTTTGGGTAAGGCCTTCAGCCAAACAAACCGAGACATGTGATCAAGGACTATCAAGATGACTGCATTCCCCCTTCGGGTTCTAGGATATGGACCCAGAAAGTCGAGGTATATCTTCTGCATCGGCCTTTCGGTTACGGTCTCGGCACCCATCTTTGGACGATTAACTTGTGTCGAGTGTTTCGTCTCTTTGCAGGTATCGCAATCCGCGACATATGCCTTCACCTGTACCGTCATACGGGGCCGATAGTACCATTGCCGCAGTCGCCCCAATGTTCTCGCAACACCTCCGTGCATTGCCCCATCACTGTCGTGTGCTTGCTGGATCAACGATCTTGTCAGCGCCTCCGGGATCCATAGTTTCCACTGGAACTCCTCGAATTCCGGTCGGGCAAATTGTGTACGCCTAAATAGCAATCCATCCTCCACCTTCAGGTATGGAAACATTTCTTCATCAATCTTAACCGCCTCTATCCTTTTCAGGTAGTCCTCGTCCTCGAAGGCTGTAGTCTCAAACTCCAGGAAGTCGATTGCATCTAGATCAAACGGACGCGACAGCATGTCTGCGACGATGTTGTCCTTTCCCTTTCGATGCTCTATCTCGAAGTTGTATGCCTGCAGAGCTAGAGACCATCTCGCCAGCCTACCATCCAGCGCTTTAAAACGCATCAGCCACTGCAAGCTCGCGTGATCAGTGATCACAGTGAATGGCATCAGCTCCACGTACGCCCGGAACTTTTCTATGGCTCTCACTGCCGCTAGACACTCCTTCTCTGGCACACTATAGATTAGTTGTGCGCCTCTCAGCTTCGCCGAAAAGAAAGCAATGGGGTGTTCGGCTTCCTCCTCATCCTTCTGGAAAAGAACCGCACCGATTCCCACATGACTTTATCACACTGGATGAAGAAGTGCTTCTTAAAGTCCGGGTGATGCAATATCGGCGCTCTGGTAAGTGCCTTTTTTAGCTCATCAAAAGAGTCTCGTGCGTCCGTTGTTAGCTGAAATTGTCCTTTTCCTTTCAGGCAGTCTGTGAGAGGGACTGAAATTGTCGAAAAATTCCGGATGAATCGCCGATACCAGCCCGCCGTACCCAAAAATCTCCTGACTTGTCTCACGTTTTTCGGCATCGGTATCTGTACGATCGCTTGCACCTTCTCGGGGTCGGTCCTCAGTGCGCCCTCGCCCACAATGTACCCCAGGTACTTCAGGTACTTATAGCAGAACCTAGACTTTTTCTTTCCTATTGTCAGGTTTGCCGTCTCCAGACACTTTGCGACTTCCTCTAGCAGATTCACGTGCTCCTCAAACGTTCGGGAAATCACCAACAGGTCGTCCAAGTACACAAACACGTGGCTTCGGAGTCGCTGCGGGATTACCCGGTCCATCAGCCGNAAAGCTTTCAATACTTCAGCCCATGCTTATCTTATCTTTTGTACGGGTCTGGCCACTGATTTTATTCTTTTACTTTTTCTTTAGGTTCCCGACCGATCTCTCGTACTTCTTCCCGGAAACTGACCCTCTCAATATAACCTTGACGGCCACGTTTCCTTCTCTTCTCCTTGCCACCTTGCAACCCTTTTTCAGCCTCCCCGGATCCACAGCAGAGGCCGCTGTCTGATCTTCTTCTCCAGCCCTGTCGGTTATCGGCTACTTCAGAAAGCCGTCCATAACAAGCCTAGTACTTCTGCAATACAGATCGAAAAAAAGGGCCGCTAGAAAAATCAGGGATGATATTCGTATGGAACCGATAAGAAATGTCGCGCAAAAACTACTTTCTAGCGGCTGTACGCCAGCAGTAACCAAATAGTATAGTCTACGCTCAACTTCATACAATCGAAACGTCACCGCTGAATGTGCGTCTCGGAGTATCAGGCCTCTGCCAAAGTCCCAGCTACAAGTATTAGTGCGTGTAGAACACGCAGCTAGAAGCCCCAGCTACATGTGTATAAGTGCGTGTAGCCAATGATTTTTAGCGCTCCAAACCGTTTTTTTCTTGATTCACACAGCCACTGCAAGTAATGTATGTGTTGGTGCGCTGACTTTCTGAACTGCGATGGAACGAAAATTCGTTTTGATGATTTAATTTTGTTTTCGGGACTTGGCGTATGAACCTGACCTATCGCAACATGTGCAGAATGAGTGGTGGTGGTTGGTGCCCGGACCCTTGGGGGTCGGAAAAAATAAATATACCAATAAAAGTTGTTATTCTAATTGTATGCTGTCATTGTTTTATATGCACATTTTATACTGCTTTATTCAAAATTGTATGCATATATTATGGAAACGCCTTCGATGCTCGACTTCGTTGCTGCCGTATTATCAACATTGTTACCAAATCCATATTTTACAGACAAATCTTTTCAGATAAATATAAAAACATATTTATGTACAGTGGCGGAAAAAATAATATAAACGCAGGCGCATTCACACTTGAATCCAAGTATTTTGTTTTGGTGAAAGTGGTTAACATCCAAGCAAGTGTGCTTGGTTGCAGGATATTAGGGCTTTATATAGGACCTTCTTTTGGGCTTCTTTCGTAAGTTTTTTTTTAGCCGTGCATCCTGATTTGTGTGAAGACCACTCTTTTGGCTTGGAAAAAAGAATAGAAACGAAGTGTAATCTTTTCCATAACTTATTTTAAAACGGTTTTAATCGAACTATTTCGGTAAAAATTCAAAAACTAACAGCAAAAGAGTATATAAACTAACTTTTCCTGTTGATTCGGTTGGGTTTGCTGTTGTTTGCGTTTCAGTTTGAGCAAGATCAGTTTGGCAAGTCCGGAAAAACCGTGAGTACGCATCAAAGAAAATCATTCGTCGCATCGAGCGCCCCCGTTTCTTGTGTGTTATACGAGGGCACTAACCATATGATTGCCAATTGTCCACGGTTTACACCTCTATCGCCAAATGATCGTCATGTGGAAGCAAAGCGGCTCTTATTATGCCTTAATTGCCTACGAAAGGGCCATCATGTGAAGGATTGTAAATCAGGTCCCTGCCGCACTTGCCGATCGAAGCACCACTCGATTTTGCATTTCGTTCGTCCATCAGAGACATTTCAATCTGTTTCAACGAGTAAAGCCTCACAACAACAACCAAATCATAGCGCCATGGTTGCCTTGTCGTCCTCATTGGCTCAAGTCTTAATCAACCCATAGTCCTTCTGATGCTGTGCTGTTAGCCCCCGTCGTCGTTTTTTTTTTTTTTTTTTTTTTCTCTTCTGGACGTTGATATGCAATGACTGCACCATCAAGTGGCCCATGCGACACCAAGCCAAAGCCTGTTACGCGCGGAACCTAGCAGAACGCAGCCCTCCTCCCGCCCAACCGACCGAGGGGCGCTGCCGCATGACGCGCGGCGCGATTAACCGAACCGGTCGCGAGCATGCAGGAAAGATAGATGTTATGCTAATATTCGAGGAAAATTAGAGCTAATCATAACTAGACTAAGCTAAGCTATAGCTAAACAAGCAGAAATTACCAAAATCAGAAACAAGACAAAACTAAAATGAAACTAACTACGGGAGAGGTTGGCTAGTATAAGAGATTTAAGAAGAGAAAGGGAGTTAGTTGAGGATATAATTTGGTAGAGGGAATTATAATCCGAGCATAAAACCCTAAAGGGTTCGTGTGAGGCATAATTCGATCTACATAGTGGAAGGAACAAAGGAATAAAGTTTCTAGTGGGTCTAATGGGAATCGTAAAGTTTAAGCGGCTCAGCAAGTCAGGGCTGTCTACATCCCCCTTGATCAAGTTGTGCATAAAAATTACACCAAGCATTTTTCTACGACTAAATAAGGATAGAAGATTTATTAAAAGATCAGATGATGCCATCCTACCGTCAGAGTGTCAACGTAGGGTCAACTCCGGGGCATCCCGTTTATTATTTTTCAAAAAGACATGACTAAGTTATGCCAGGACTACATACAACATGACTCCCGTGGTATGTGTACTCGGCATAAGATTTTAGCCTGCTTGTTCGCTCTATATCTCTCAGAAGCATATATAGGGGTCCTCAAGTTCCTTTGACCACCTCTTTATAAACCCAAGCACACCCATGGCTTTATTTACCATGGTAGAAATGTGTTCACAAAACTTTAACTTTGGGTCTAGTTTAACACCTAGATCATCAACCAATGTAATTCTCTCAAGAGAACTACCGCAGAGGGTGTAAGGAGCCAGGAAGGGGCTGGAGCGATAAAAAGTCATAACATTGCACTTCGAGGCATTAAGTTGTAACATATTTGCACAGCACCATGACTGAAAGCTATTGAGATCAGATTGCAAACGAGAGTGAAATGAAATGTCCTTATACTGGACACAGAGTTTAACATCATCCGCATACATAAGTACTCGAGAATTTGTTAATACAGAAGGCAGGTCATTAATAAAGAGTGTGAAAAGTAAGGGGCCTCAATGGCTACCCTGTGGTACTCCAGAAGTAACCATAACAGGTAAAGATACGGAGTTTTTGAAAAGGGCCCTTTGAGACCTAGAACACAGGTAGCTAGAAATCCATCTCAACAGATTGGGCGGAAACCCTAGAAGGTTGAGCTTTTGTGCAAGAAGAGAATGGTTTACGGAATCGAATGCCTTACTGAAGTCAGTGTAAATAACATCCGTCTGCAAGTTACTTTGGAAGCCTTTAATTACAAAGGAGGTGAACTCTAAAAGATTAGTGGTTGTTGATCGTCGCCGTATAAATCCGTGCTGAGCTGGAGATATAAGTGATTTGCAGAGATGCTGCAAGTGCGGAGTTAAAAGTTTCTCGAACATTTTAGGAATAGCGGATAACTTAGATATACCACTATAGTTTTTAGCGTCAGACTTGCTACCTTTCTTATGGAGAGGAATTATAAAGGATTCCTTCCAGATGGGGGGAAAGCTAGAAGAATGGATAGATAGAGTGAATAGTTTAAGCAAAGGTCCGCAGAGAGACTCGGCACAGTACCTGAGTACACAGCCGGGAACTCCGTCAGGGCCCGGTGAGAATACCGGCTTAACTAATTGAAGTTCATGAAGTAAGGAGCCTTCATTTAACAAAGGGCAGAAAATGCCATTCGACCTTGGTAAACTATATGGATACATATGACCTGGGTAGCTTTCCTGGGAATAGGTGGTTTGAAAAAATTGTGCAAAAAGATCGGCGATTGCCTGATCATTGTTTGCCGACATATTCAAAAATGATAGCGAGGATGGATGTGCGGACGTTCTACGCTTACTGTTTACGAAGCTNGTTTAACATCATCCGCATACATAAGTACTCGAGAATTTGTTAATACAGAAGGCAGGTCATTAATAAAGAGTGTGAAAAGTAAGGGGCCTAAATGGCTACCCTGTGGTACTCCAGAAGTAACCATAACAGGTAAAGATAAGGAGTTTTTGAAAAGGACCCTTTGAGACCTAGAACACAGGTAGCTAGAAATCCATCTCAACAGATTGGGCGGAAACCCTAGAAGGTTGAGCTTTTGTGCAAGAAGAGAATGGTTTACGGAATCGAATGCCTTACTGAAGTCAGTGTAAATAACATCCGTCTGCAAGTTACTTTGGAAGCCTTTAATTACAAAGGAGGTGAACTCTAAAAGATTAGTGGTTGTTGATCGTCGCCGTATAAATCCGTGCTGAGCTGGAGATATAAGTGATTTGCAGAGATGCTGCAAGTGCGGAGTTAAAAGTTTCTCGAACATTTTAGGAATAGCGGATAACTTAGATATACCTCTATAGTTTTTAGCGTCAGACTTGCTACCTTTCTTATGGAGAGGAATTATAAAGGATTCCTTCCAGATGGGGGGAAAGCTAGAAGAATGGATAGATAGAGTGAATAGTTTAAGCAAAGGTCCGCACAGAGACTCGGCACAGTACCTGAGTACACAGCCGGGAACTCCGTCAGGGCCCGGTGAGAATACCGGCTTAACTAATTGAAGTTCATGAAGTAAGGAGCCTTCATTTAACAAAGGGCAGAAAATGCCATTCGACCTTGGTAAACTATATGGATACATATGACCTGGGTATCTTTCCTGGGAATAGGTGGTTTGAAAAAATTGGGCAAAAAGATCGGCGATTGCCTGATCATTGTTTGTATTCAAAAATGATAGCGAGGATGGATGTGCGGACATTCTACGCTTACTGTTTACGAAGCTGTAAAACTGTTTAGGGTCCTTTGAAAAACGTATCCTGCATCGAAGGAGGTAGTTCCTATAGCATTGAGCATTAAGAACAGTGAAGTTTGACCGAGCTATTAAGTAATTAGAAAGAGAAGAGGGAGAACCAACTTCTTGAGATTTTTTAAATAGTCTTGATTTTAGATTTTTTAGACTGGATAACTCTTTGGTGAACCAAGGAGGTTTCGCAGATCTAGTCGGACATGAAAGTGGGACACACGTGTCAAAAATTGTGTCAAGTACATTGTAAAAAATGTTTGTGCCTTCAATGACGTCACTGCACATGTACAGAGCGGACTCAAAATTTCGAATTAAG